GGGATCGGGCAGTGTTTCGTTCTGCTGTGCATGGGGTCGCTATGAGTCGGAAACGACTCGACGGCACTTAACAACAACAACAACAACATTGTATGTAAACTGTAACTCAACAAAAAACATCTTATAATGCCTTCTAGACATTTTGCTAGGTATTTTCATGAAATATTCATTTACATCTGAAAGTACTGTGTGGTAGGGATAAAATGGAATTTCAGAGAAGAGCAATATACCTATAGAGCATGGGTGTACTCTATAGAGAGAAAGAGTGGAAGAGAGGAAGGAAATGGTGAATGGAACCAAAAGGGACTCCTGGAGTAGGGGGAGGAGGCAAGGTAGATAAAAAGGAGAGATGAAGTGGCAGATTGCATTTCCAACAATGGGCACAACATTGTTTCTTCGTACAATGTGGTTCTAACACTCTACCCACTGAGAGGTGAAGTCCATGTTTCCTTTTCTTCAACATGGGGAGGCTTGTGACTACCATGAAAATAATGCTATGTGACTACTGAAGCTAAGACATAAAAAGATGAGTTAGCTTCTGCCTCGTTTTCTTGTGATGTCCACACTTGAAACCCAGCCCCACCCTGTGAGGAAGACCAAGCAGCCACGTGAAGAGGTCACATAGAGAGGTTCTGGCTGATAACTCCATCTGATCCTCGTTAATAGCCAGCATCAACCATCAGATGTGTGATGAGTCTTGTTCCCAGGATTTGAATCATCACTAGCCTTTGAGTTTTCCCAGGTGAGGCAGCAGACCTTGTGCAACAGAGAAGATGCCAGCGACATACCTATTCTGAATTCCTAACCCACAGAATCTGTGAGCATAACAAAACAATGGTTGTTTTACATTACTAAGTTTGAGATGGTGTTTTATGCAGCACTGGTGATCAAAACAGGTGGTAAGGCGAAAGGGGAAGAAACGGAAATAATAAAAGAAAAACTAGGATTCAGCCCTTCTGAGAGACGAGAAAAGATTCTCTACAGTGCTTTACTAGTTCCTGAGAGTGTATACTACCAGGAAGTGGTCTAAGGCTTTTAGGGATGGAAAGTAGAGTCCTTGGGTACCAGGAAGGTGTCCACAGTAGCTACAGTACTGGAGTGGAACAAACTTCTTCATCATCAGCTATCTGACAATCCTTACAAAACCAAGGGTGTAGTCATACAGATGAGGTAGGTTTTGCCAGCTTCCCATAGCAGTTAAATCATTTAAAAAAATCTGTCATGGGTTGATGTGGCAATTAATTACACTTCATAAAATTTATTATTATTATTTGCATAGCATGGATCACAAGACAGATATAAACCTGATACGTTTAAAACAAAACAAAAAAGCCAACCAAACTCACTGCCGTCCAGTTGATTCAACTCATAGCGACCTCTCCTTGGTTTCTAACAGTATCTCTATGGAAGTAGATTGCCCAATCTTCCTTCAGAGGAGTGGCTGGTGGATTTGAACCACCAGCCTTCTGGTTAGCAGTCAAATGTCTTAGGCACTACGCCACCAGAGCTCATACATAGAACATTTTTAAAAGAAGACCTCTTGAATTAATTTTCACTTCCGACCTAAGGACCTTAACCCTTAACAACTAAGCAGAAGGCTCCTCAATCCAGGTATTTATATATAACATCTTGAAAATTCATTAGCTCTATTTTTGAAGATGGCAAATGAATTTGTGGAGAATGAGTTGATCAGTGACAACATGTAGTTACCCTGTGTTCAAGTGGTTTCAGTGAATTCTGACATCCAGGTTTCGTTCTGCAGCAGTGGTGGACTCATGACCCCCTCAGTCAGTGTGCCTGCACTGAATTTGACTTGGCTGATCTCTGCTTTCAGGATTTAGAGATTCCTTCCAGTATGAACCACAGTTTCCCCTCTGAAATACTCTATGTTGGACTATTCTGCTTTGTTGATTCGGAGAGTACATTGCTAAATTTTATCCTTCCTTATGTTTTTGCTCAGAATGCAGACTGAAGTCTTATCCATTGATTTCTATAGATGCTTCTGTTTCTCTCCATCCTATAAATTACAGGCTAGAAACTTCACCTCTTACAAAAAAAAAAAAAAAAAAAAGGCTGAAAAATGTACAGCTCTCATACTTCACTTTCACTATCATCATTCTGTCTTCTGATGGTGATGTTTTCTTTTCAGAGGGAGCAGCCTTTATGGCAAATTGTAGCAATGGGAAGGGTATTTTAAACCTCCTTTGGAAGGGAGAGTCTCTTCTCAGCTTTAGAGTGTGAGCTGAAAATGGATCTGCTCGTCTGGGCCTCACTCCCACTTCCTGTATTACACCATTAACCATCCTCCCAGGGACCAGAAGCTCCGGTGAAGTCTGTTTAATCACTGCATGCCCAGTATCCCCGGGACAATATTTGCAGGATGTGGGGCATGATAACCCCCTGTGGTGAGGATAACAGCTGTTCCCAGCTGTAAAACATGTAATACAAAGTGAATCAGTCACAAATTTTTCCTCAGGGCTAGTGGTAGAAAGGCAGAAAGTTAGAGAGGTTAATTTGCCCACACCCACATCATGGGTGCATTGTAAAACCTCGTTTAGACCCAAGCTAATGATTTTTCTTTTGCTTTGCTTTTATTTTTGCATCACACTCTATCCTCAGAGAAAATATGTGAGGGCTGCTTTTCAGGGGAGGAAAGGGTCAGTGGGCCCTGATGCCAGTAGGCTAATAATTAAGCTAGTCTTCATGCTATCGAGTCAATTCCAACTCATAGAGAGCCCTCCTTAGGTTTCCGAGGTGGTATCACTACAGAAGTAGATTGCCCAACCTTCCTTGTAAGGAGTGGCTGGTGGGTTTGAACCATCAGCTTTCTGGTTAGCAGTCAAATGCCTTAGGGACTATGCCACCAGAGCTCCTTCATATGTTTGAGAGACAGAAAGATTATACACTGGAGATTCTCAAAGTGTGGTCCCTCTACCAGCAACGGTCCCTCTGCCAGCAGCCTCAGCATCAGCTGGGAACTTGTTAGAAGCAAATTTCCCCAGATCTACTATATCAGATGGAAGGAAGCTTGGGCAATCTACTTCCGTAGTGATACCACCTCGGAAACCCAAGGAGTGGTCACCATGAGTCAGGTCTGACTCCAGAGCACATAACAACAACACTAAATCAGAAACTCTGGGGTGGGGCCTAACAAGCTAGAGTTTAACAAGTCCTCCAAGAGATTTTGATAACATGTTAACATTTGAGAAGCACTGCTATACACCAAGACTCTTAGAAAGTGAATAATTTTACTCACAATTTGTCCTCACTTTGTAAAATAACCTTTAGCAACAGAATATCAAAGAAGGAAACGCTTCCATTATTTTGCCACTAAATACTTATTAAGCACCTACCATTCGCAAAGGAGGAGCTCTGGCATTTGACTGCTAGCCAGAAGGCTGGCAGTTCAAACCCACCAGTCACTCCTCGGAAGGAAGGTTGGGCAATCTACTTCCGTAGAGATACTGCCTCAGGAACCCAGGGAGGGGTTGCTATGAGTCGGATCTAACTGGAGGGTAGTGAGTTTGGTTTTTATATGCACAGAACTGGGCAATCTCCTTCCGTGCTTTGGAACCAACTCAACAGTGAGTTTGGTCTTTCAGTTTGGATATGCAAAGGACTGTGCCAGCTGCTGTGTGGAAAGGAAAGATGGATAAAATACAGGCCTGGCCTTCTCTGAGCTCATCAAACGTTGATGAGCTGAACATGGGTTTACCAAGAAAACAGAGATAAAAGGAGCAGAGTGTCCTGCTTCCTTGATGGCTGCACGTAAGCGACAAATATGGGCTCAATTCTCTATTTTATTGTTGATGTCATTAAACCATTCTTTGCCTCTTTTCAGAGATGGGAGCATGGAGAACATTCATGGAAAGCTTAACAGTTTAAACCACAACGTTCACCTGGTTGATGATGGAAAGAGAACGCCTAGCCTCATACTTCAACCTCGCTCCTGCTTTAGGAATCAGCCCCAGCTCCAAGAACCTGAGGCTAGCTCAGGATCACAAAAAGTCATCGTCTAAGTGTTCAGCAATTCAACAAATTTGCCATAGACCTTCCCTTCTATTTAACTTTTATTAAAAGAAGTGCTAAGGTACTGGGATGCAGTACACCATATTTATTACCAAAATTATTAACAAATATACAAAACTTATACATGTAATTTTCTTACATCCATTTATTCTCTATAATACTGATTTTTTTTTTTTTTTTCTTCAAGTAGGTTATCTACAGTATGTAAACATCCCTTGGGTTTGACCTCACACAGATTAGGAAAGCCCTCCAACCCATGCTTTTATCAGATACTTCTTTTTATTTGGCTTTCATTTGTAGCATCTCATCTTCACATTTGGCACTTGGAAGAGACATCTACAGTGCAAAAGAGGCAGAATTTCTGGTTTCACTCGGAACAATTTGTCAGGGGCACAGTTAAAGAGCTGAGAGGAGAACTAGGGCACTCTCACTTGGAGTTGCATTAGTTGTAACGCCAACAACTCTTGGTTCAGCCATTAAACTGGAGCACAAAGTCAATGTCTCTTCCTTCTCCGACCTTCCCACCCGTCCTGCACCACGCAAGGCTGATTCAGTCTTAACCTCGTCTCAAAAGGGTTAAAAGAATTTCCACCCATCCCAGAACAAAAAGATTAATCTCACCCAGGAACAATTTTCCTGCGTTCTTTTGCGTGGGTTGGTTTCTGCAGTTTGATGAGCCAGTAAAACTCTTTAAAAGTGAATAAAATAAGACAAAACAGACGAGAGCAGGACTTTCTATCTACTTCCAATTTCCACCTCTGCATTTAAGATCGGAGCCTCTTTGTGGTGGCAAAGTGGCAAAGGCCTTGGTGACTTGCGAAAGAAAAGCTAGCACGCCATACATAACATGCTGGACTCCACGTCTTTGAACACACAGTCATGAAAATTAAAAAAAAAGAAAAAAGAAAGGAAAAGGAATCGGAGATTTCCCCTCCCCTTTCTGCTTCCTTTTGAGTCTGTGACTTAACCAAATCAAGTAAAGCTGATCCAGAGAGCCCTGTTCGACCCGCTCACCCCATTGTCACTCTCCAGCACAGTATTGCTCGTGTGGTTGGCTGCGCCTAGTCCGCGAAGCATCTGCTGACAACGTGCCTGGATTGGGACGTGCGCCTCCCGGCTTCCATCACCACAGGGGCGCTGGCCCCTCCGCCGCCCCGTAGAGCTCCGCCAGCTTCCGGAAGCGGGGCCCCCAGTCCGTGAGGAAGTCGAAGCTCTGCTCCGAGTCTGATGTGGCCGACTGCAGGGAGCTCAGGGAGCCCGCTACGGAGCCGTCGCCCTCAAACATGTATGTCTGGAGGGAGTCAAAGGGCGGCGCCCACAGGTCCATGTCGGCCTCGTAGAGCTTGGCCAGCACGTAGCTGTGGACGGTGCTGCTCACGGCGCACGTCTGAGGCACGTAGCGGGACAGGCTCTCGATCTCGGGCAGCATGTCCTGCCGCGTCTTGGCGGCGGCGCCCATCTGCGCCTCCCGGGGGTTCCACATGGCCGCGATGTCAAAGGCCTCCGTGTCCTCCTCGCCACCCCCTTCGTCGTCATAGCGGACGATGTTTTCGTGGATGTTCTCCTCGTCGTCGATGATGTAGGGCTGCTTCCGGTGCCTCCTCATGGACAGGATGAGCAGCACCAGCACTGCCGGAAACAGAGGACAGGCTGTTTACTCGCGAGACTTGGCAGCGTGTGCCAGGGAGAGACAGGTTCTTGACTAACCAGAGCTATGGAAAGTCAGTTTACCGGATGGTGAGCTCAGAGACATGGCTATTTTAAACCATGAGGAGTTCTATTTTAAGCCTGCCTCATTCTCACTTTACCTGCAGTGTCACATTGAGAAACGGGAACATACATACGCCGATGAAAAAGGCTGTGGGCAAATGAAGCCCCTGTTTTCTGCAAGTGCTTCAATTAGAAGCTGCATTTAAAGTCGCTTTGCATTAACTTGCCTCATTGAAAGAGTGAGTGTGCGTACCCACCCAGCCACCCAATATCAGATCCCATTAACAAAGCACTGTGACTTGCCGTGGAGTTAGATATGCTAAGGATCAGATCATGTCCTCATACACATTTTTATTATGATGTGCAAATCTTATTATGTAGGTGTAATCTGCTTTCTTATATTAGCATCATAATAGGATTCTACTCTATAAATATAATATGCTAATGCATATGTATATAGACTCACATGTTAAATAGGAGCCAAAGTCTTAGACTTTTTATACCTTCTTCAGAAAAATGTTGTTGTTGTTATGTGCCGTTGAGTCAAACCCGACTCATAGCGACCCCTCCTTGGGTTTCTGAGGCAGTATCACTACGGAAGTAGGATTGCCCAACCTTCCTTCCGAGGAGTGGCTGGTGGGTTTGAACCACCAGCCCTCTGGTTAGCAGTCAAGTGTCTTAGCCACTATGCTACCAGAGCTCCAGAAAAATATGGGAAAGCATAAATAACCCCTGTCCTGTAACCTCAGATTCCTCAGAAATGCCTTCCATCAGAGAGATGATTGTGACTTTCTGGATTCAATGATGTTCATGCAAGAGAGGGAATGAGCAGTGACATTTTATATAATTCATCATGTTATCAAAGAAACACCATGCTGTTAGATGTGCCCTTGCAGGTTTGGATAAAATTTTATCCCTACAAATGCATTTTTTCCCCAGGATGTGTTCACTGGGGTTTAAAGGAGAGATAGCAATAATCCCATTGAGCTGTTTATCTCTGTGACTGAAAATGTTTTCCAGGAAGTGTGTTGAGGTTTGAGCTGTAGCACTGCTATTGATTTTTTTTTTTTTTTTTTCCCCCTGGGTGCTTTGTTACAGCTGGTGAACAGTGACAGCTTGACAACACTGCAAAATAAGACCCCAGTTTATCCAATGGAAAGAAAATGAGTACAGTCTTATGTGCAGTAACAGATTAAGGACTGACTAATAAAACTCACAAGATTGATTTAAAAAAAAAATGAAGTAGAATGAGCTTTTTGGAAATTAGTTAATAGTGTTAATACCTAATATTTTCCTCAATAATTTGGGAGACAAGATATGTACACAGGAAACAATTATACAGTCTTTTATATTTTCCCTGTTTGTGAAAATTAGAGGCATGGTGTAGAAGGATGGGGATTTCAGAGAAAGAGACTAATAGGGCTTTAAGGAATGGGGGCTGGCCATTAAAGGCTGGTGTGATTTGGATGGATGTAGACTGGAGAACTGGGATTCTAAATAAACATGTCATGGCTGTGAGATTCAGTAAATAGTTGCTAAACCAAATATTTTCTAGGCACTATGCTAGGCACTATGCTAGGCACAAGGAGCTCTGGTAGCATAGTGGCTAAGACACTTGACTGCTAACCAGAAGGCTGGCGGTTCAAACCCACCAGCCACTCCTCGGAAGGAAGGTTGGGCAATCCTACTTCCGTAGTGATACTGCCTCGGAAACCCAAGGAGGGGTCGCTATGAGTCAGGGCTGACTCGACGGCACATAACAACAACAACAACAACAACATGCTAGGCACTGAAGAAGCAAGATTGAATATAACATGGTTTCTTCCCTTAGGAACTAGCAATCTCAGCAGATTGTAGACACTAATAATACAAGCCAGAAATGAAAAGGGCAATCATAGAGTTACAAATTAAAAACAAACAGACAAAAAAACCAACCCATTGACTTCAAATTGATTCTGACTCATAGCAATCCTATAGGACAGAGTAGAACTGCCCCACAGGATTTCCAAGGCTGTCATCTTTATGGTAGCATGCTGCCACATCTTTGGCCCATGGGGTGGCTGATGGGTTTGAACCATCAACCTTTCAGTTAGCTGAGCACTACACCACTAGTGCTCCTATGGAGTTATAAATGTTGCCAAAAGAGCACAGAGGCAAGGCCTGTTAATTCTGCCTGGGGGTCGGGGGATTCGGCTGCTGGGACCAATCTAAGACTTCCGATCAGGGCAGGAATGAGGTAACTAGCTCTGTTCACCTAAGATTGCGATGTTGCCTGCACTGGAGAATGGTGACCTGACAGACATGCCCACCCCTCCTGTTGTCCTACCTGTGAGGCAAGTGCCACCACCCATTCCTGAACCCTTGATTGACATCAGATAGGAGCCAACACTAGCCCAGTCCTCTCAACTGCTGTACACGAACAGCCAACAGAGATCTGTGTACACATCCCCATTCACTGCTACACCTACACCTACCAGGAGACAAGTAGTGAACACCTAAGTGCTGCCAGACTAGCCAGCAGAGTAACATGCCCTCTCCACCTGCCTGGGTATATCTAAACAAAATAAAGCAAAAAGCCTGAGTGAAACACACCAATGTATACTCATCACATAAATACAATAACACTACAGTGTCTTGAAGATGACCAACAATCTCATCTCACAAAGAAATGACAAAATGGCTCAAATAAGTGACTAAAATACAGAACCACAAAAAGTTTTCCTGAGGAAGAAATGGTATTGGGACTATCTGATAAGGGATTCAAAAGGATTATACATAGGATCCTTCAACAGGTTAAGAAAGAGATCAAGGAAAACACAAAATCCAGGGAAACACAGATAAAATTCTAGAAGAACAAATACAAGAACAAACTGACAAAATAAATGGAAAACTAGCAATCATACAAAAATAGCAAAGAGAAATACTAAAATTTCAGAAATAATGCATTGGAAAGGCAAAGGAATAGAGTGGAATCAATAGAAGCCAGAATTAGTGAATTTGGAGATAAATCTGTTAATCTATTAGAGGAACAATCATGAAGACTCAGTGAACACTGAAAGAATACCAACAAAGGATAAGAAAATTCATAAACAAAATAAATCAGCATATAAAAATACATGGAACATTCAACATTAGAAAAACAATCAATGTCATCCACCACATAAATAAAACAAAGGAGAAGAACCACATGATCATATCAATTGATGCAGAAAAG